GCTCTATTATCCAGAAATCTCTTTAAGTTAATTTTTACAAAGACAAATGACACAACAGAAGTGTAAGATATGAAAGAATGGCCAATAGAAGACAAATGAATAGACATATGAAAAGATGTTTAACTTTATTAGTTATCACATGAAAGTTATTTTCCATGAAAAATGTTGACAATTGTGAGAAAATCATTCCAAGCTATTATTTTCCATGAAAAATGTTGACAGAAACTGAAAAGAATGTTGGTGGCTAGTATGCCGAACAGGCAATTCAATTCAAATACTTTGATGTAGAACTTTTATTTCTAAGTTACTAGCCTATAAAAAATTGTGAATTGTCCACTTGTGAAAGTGGACAAGATATATTAACCATAATATTCTTCATAGTATTATCTATAATTACAATAAAATTCTATAAGCCCAAAGACACATGTGTGAGAGAACAAGATAAGAATACAGTACGTACTATACAATGTACTATAGCTATTCATTTAAAAAATGAATTTCAGGCTGGCAGAATGGCTCAGCAGGTAAAGGTTCCTACTGCCAAGCCTAATGACCTGCACTCAATCCCCACATGGTCTAAGGAGAAAACAGAATTCTTTAAGTGTTTTTCCTCTGACCTCTCATTCACACACACAGAAAGAACCTAATAATAATGTAATACAAAATGACTTCCTAATGAGCAGGAAGTTTTATAATATTAATTCTATTTATATGATATATGACAATATATAATTATTCTGTAAAACACTCAACAATAGATGGACATTAATAGACAAATCACTAAGAATAGTCAAATAATCATAGCTACATCTATGCAGTAGTATTAGGAAAAGAACTCTATGTATTACTGCCTTTGGTTACCATTTCCCATAAGCATGTATCTGTGTGTGAGGGTATATATATGATCATGTGAGTATGTGCATATGTGCATGCAGATATACATGCATGTGTGAACACTTGCATTTCAAGCATCTTCTATGATCAGGCTCCATGTTACTTGTTAAGACACGGTCTCTTAATGAATTTGGAGCTTATCAAATCTGCTAAACTGTCTGGTGAGCCCGCAGGATCTGTCTTGCTCTACTACTCTCCCTCAACAACTGGTTTTCAGATAGATACTGCCATTTTTATGTGGGTGCTGGGCATCTAAACTCAAGATATCATGCTTGTATGGCAGGTACTTTACTGACTGAGCCATTTTTTAATAAAGCTTTAATATAAGCTCAGCCTGCTTCCTTTTTGAACTTTTTCTGCTAAAATTTTAGGATGTATATTCTGGTTCCTTTTCTAAAGATCTGTATGTCATTTTCCATCTACAAGCCATGAATATTATATATATTTTTATGTGACTGTTCCTCTTACTGATCACACCTTGTGAACATAGTACCATTTCAGTAAATGTTCTTCCAGGTATAAAGTTGGAAATTCTGGAAAGTAACTATCAAATACTTATAATTTTTTCTTAACCATCTCCAATTGTTGGCATCTGGATTACTTATATTTTTTTTCTGTGAAAAAAGCACATTGAAGTTAACAACCTTTGACTCAGTATATTCTCATTCTAATTATTTATTCTAAATGATATATAAACAAGTTTTCACATAGTATATACTGGACTACAATATAATATGATACAGTTTGGGTACTGCACTATATAATGTACTATATGTATGCTTATTGCCACATATTTTAATAATACTAAAATGTTGGATGGAATACAATATCTACTAGAGGGAGATGAAATAAATATATCTCATTAAAATTGTAACATAAAAACAGTTTACTGTTGTGGAAATTTATAATTTATTAAGTGAAAGAAATTACAAAGTGAACTCATTCCATTTTGAAAAAGAAAAATGCTGATAATTTTGAAAGAACATGTCAAAAATCTTTATAATTTTTCTGTGAGAATTGAAATAATTTGAGAATATATTTTTCACTTTGTTTCTTTATATTTTGAAGTTTTGCAATAAAAGTTACATGTACATTTTCAGAAGACAAATAAATAATAAACTTTGTATACAGCTGTTTAAATGTTTTTCTTCAACATAAGGTATATTTTTCATGGTAAGAACTATGGGGGAAAACAGTAAAAATATAAAGAAAAAGATCTCACACATCCTTCTTATCCTATGTTAACCAGTTCACACTCTCTAATGGCCATTTGTCTCTGATCACGTTTGCAGCCACACATTACATCAAGCTGATTTTGAAACTAGCATTACATAATTCACAAACCATCAATATTTTATTGACAAATAGTATATATAAATAACACATTTACTTATTCATTCACTTAAATCTAGAGCTAGTGACTGGGGAGATAACCCAGCTAGTAAAGTATATGCTCTACAAACATGAGGAGTTATATTTTTAAAAGGTTAGGTGTTGTGGTGTGCCCTTATAATTCCAGCACTGGGGAGGCAGAGACATGGACACCTGGGGCCAGCTGGCCTAATTGGAACACTCTAGACAAAAGAGAGACCTTGGATCAAAACAAACAACAACAAAAACCCCACAAATAAACAAGGCAAATGGCTTCTGAAGAATGGCACTCAAAGTCATCTGTGATTTCTACATACATGTACATGTGCACGTGCCCTCACAATGGTGTCACTGCACATATATACATGCACACACACACAAAATCTAGAGTGAGCTTTTTTCATTTTTGGTACTGTCACTAAGTATGAGGAACATCATTATCTATATATTTTATTCTGAGTCCAATGCCTTAACCACCTGGCCAGCAAAGCCTTAAAAAACTTACCTACCTCTTCCTGACACAAGACCTCTTTAGGTAGGCCAAGCTGGTCTTGAACTCTCACTTTGAGTGCTTTAGTCCACAGAGTGCTGAGATTACAGACACCACACCCAGCTTGCATTATCCACATTGAAAACAATTCGGATAAATACTTTGGATAAAATGTTAAAAATTACAAATTTTCAATGTTTCTAATTAAGGTAGAATGGAATAGTGAAAGGAAAAAGAAGCTCAAACAACACCTCAAACCCATATCTATTGCTCTAATTAGGTAAAACTGATATAAAAGCACCTATGTTATCTAAATCACAAGCTTACTGTAACAACCAAAAAGAAAGTAGCTACAGCATGAATTTGACTTCTTCACTTTGAAAACTCTCACAGCATCCTATACTTACTTCTTCTACATGCCCTTACCACAACTGATAATTAATTAATTTGCTTTGTATGTAACCCCCAAATCATTTTAAGCTCCATTAAAAATGCCTGGCACAAATTTGGCGCTCAATAAATATTTATTGAATGAATGGATGGATGAATAAATGAAGTGATAGCACTTTGTCAACTCTAATTCAAAACTTATTGATATTTCACTTGTTATTACTTTTGATTATCACACAGATGATTGCAAATCTTCAGATATTACTTGCCTAACTATAAGTTCATTATATGGCTTTTATGTTTTTCATATCAGCCAGAGGCGTGAGTAGTAGCATTGCTCGAAGTGCCTAAGGAGAGCTGAGACTTAGAGAACCAAAAAAAGACAGCTCTTTAGCTCAGCATCCTGGGATTTAAGTTGTAGTTACCATTAGGTGGATACAAGGCAGTGTCAGGAACCCAGGAAGTCAGTGATATCTGAAGAAGCAGGAAGATCCTGGAGGTCAAAAACAAACTAATAGTAAGTGATCTGGATAATATGGTTAAGACTGGAGAATGAGGAATGACTAGGTATTAAAGTGGAAGGGAAAGTTAAATTTCTGAGCATTAAAATTTCAAGCATTAAGCTATGACTATGATTCTAAAGTAAGATGTATGTGAACTCATTGTATCCTTCTTGTCAAACCTGGTATAAGGAAATATTCGAACCTACTTTCACATAAATGAGCAAGGGATGGTATAGTACCTGGTTTTAGGATGACTCTATTGATACAAATAATGTTCTGACAGTGACAGGTTAAAGTATGACTGTATATGAGATTTTTATAATATCCTATATACAACATGGGAACCATATAACTTTAGCTCCCCTTACATTCATCTTGATTTTCATCATCATATACAAAAAAGAACATAGTGGTAGAATCATGGATTCTGGAAACAGGCTAGCTGGGTTCAATCCTAGCTCTTTTATTTACTAGTTGTGTCCTTTGGACAAGTTACTTCACTATATAGCAGTTTCCTCATCTGTAAGAGACAATAATAACTCCTATCTCAATGGGTTGTGACGATTAAATGAGTTGATGCATGTAAGGATCTTAGAACGGTGCCTGAACACAGCAAATGTATTATTGTTATTATTATTATTATTATTATTATTATTATTACCACATTGGGACAAATATTATTAAAAACAGACAAAATAGATAAGTACGTGCTGTTATCTTTACCTATATTATAAAATTATAGTATTTAAGCATGAAATTTTTTCATTAAAATAATTTCACTTGTGCTTAAACATGGTTGACCATCAAAACTATAACCATTACCAAAGTTGTAAAATTACTGCACCAATTCTTTAAAGCCTCTTTCTTCACACAATCCTTAAAATTTATAAAGAATATATGTTTCCCAATATAAAAAAAATGCAAACAATACTATAGTTGGCCCCCAAAACTTGATCTGTAACAGGTAATACGTTTTTAAATATTTTGAAACTAGTTCTACTAAAAGCAGGAATAGTTAATTTGAGAGGTTAGTCTAAAAATATCTGCACCCAGTAAGACTTAGATGGAAAAGACTAGATTTGACAAATCCCCAAACTAAGGAAATATTGGGGAAAAAAAAAACTATGAAACAACTTTCAATACCTGGATATGGCAGACACTGGAAAACCTGAATGTCAAAAACCGAGACACTGGAGCATGCAGATATTGAGCCTGTTGATGGAAGACTGGGTAGTTGTAGGAAGACCTGAAGATGTTGGAAGACGCAGATGCTGGAAGATGTGGAGATGTTGGAAGACAGGCAGATGCTGGAAGCCCTGGAGATGCTGGAAGACTTGGAGGTGTAGGAAGACATGTACTCCTTGGAAGACTTGGATTTTTCTCGAAGACATAGATTTTTCTGGAAGACTGGATTTTCAGGAAGACTGTGGATCTTTGAGAAGACTGGATTTTTAGGAAGACTGTGGATCTTCGGGAAGACTGTGGATCTTCAGGAAGACTGTGAATCTTTGGGAAGACTGTGGATCTTCGGGAAGACTGTGGATCTTTGGGAAGACTGTGGATTTTTGGGAAGATGTGGATTTTGGGAAGATGTGGATTTTTGGGAAGATGTGGATTTCGGGAAGACGTGGATTTTGAGAAGACGTGGATTTAGGGAAGACGTGGATTTTCAGGAAGATGTGGATTTTGGGAAGACGTGGATTTTCTGGAAGATGTGGATTTTTGGAAGATGTGGATTTTTGGGAAGACATGGATTTTGGGAAGACGTGGATTTTCTGGAAGACGTGGATTTTTCTGGAAGACGTGGATTTTCTGGAAGACGTGGATTTTGGGAAGACGTGGATTTTCTGGAAGACGTGGATTTTCTGGAAGACTTGGATTTTCTGGAAGACATGGATTTTGGGAAGACGTGGATTTTCTGGAAGACGTGGATTTTCCGGAAGACATGGATTTTCTGGAAGATGTGGATTTTCTGGAAGGCATGGATTTTTCCAGAAGACGTGGATTTTTCAGAAGACATGGATTTTCTGGAAGACATGGATTTTCCAGAAGACATGGATTTTCTGGAAGACGTGGATTTTTCAGAAGACATGGATTTTCTGGAAGACGTGGATTTTTGAGAAGACTTGGATTTCGGGAAGACATGGATTTTCAGGAAGATGTGGATTTTCAGGAAGACACAGATTTTTGGGAAGACATGGATAATCTGGAAGACTTGGACTTCTCGGAAGCTATGGATTTGATGGAAGACATGGATTTTCTGGAAGATATGGATAGATGGAAGACCAGGAGATCAATGGAAGACATAGATCTTGGGAAGACATGGATTTTCAGGAAGACCTGAATAGTCCGGAAGACCAGGATTGTTTGGAAGACACAGACATGTGGAAGACTTGGGAAGTTTCTGGAAGACATTAATCTTCAGGAAGACGTATATCTTCAGGAAGACATACCTTGGCTGGAAGACCTGGATGTTATTGGAAGACATGGATCTATTGGAAGACCTGGATTTAGTGGAAGACTTGGGTTTCTGGAAGACTTGAACTGGTGGAAGACATAGATTAGCTAGAAGACCTGGATTTTTCTGGAAGACTTGGATTGACTGGAAGACACTAATTTTTCTGGAAGACGTGGACTGGCTGGAAGACCTGGGATTTTCTGGAAGACGCAGATTTTTCTGGAAGACGTAGATTGCACTGGAAGACGTGGATTCTTCTGGAAGACGTGGATTCTTCTGGAAGACGTGGATTTTCCTGGAAGACATGGATTTTTTCTGGAAGATCTGGATTCTATGGAAGACTGGATTTTCTGGAAGACTTGGAGGTTTTTGGAAGACATGGATTTTCTGGAAGACATGTATTTTCTGGAAGATTAGGATTGTCTGGAAGATCTTGACATTGTTGGAAGACTTGCAGTTGCTGGAAGACCTGGAGATGTTGGAAGACCTTGATACTGGCACCATTGGAAACCCTAGATATTGGAAACATCATAAGCACAGGATTTTTGGAAATACTGGAAGGCTTGTATTTTTTAAGACATTGGTTACTTTGGACATTAAAGACTTTGGTGACCCTGAATGCTTGGATATTTGATACTGAAAGCCATATACTAGATGTCTTAGATAATCAAGGCATTACAAATCTTGTATTTTGAACCCCTAATCAGTAGTTTTATGGAGAACAAAAGACCTGGACATTTACAAATCACAAATTAAAAAACTCCACCTATTGAGAGATAATAGAAAACCTCAATTTTTCCATATTCCTGTCAAAAAATGACTTAATTTGTAAGAATTAAGTTTAAATGATACTGGTAACCCTAGATATAAAGAGCTCTAGATGCTAAAAGATCTGGTTATTTATGGGTTCAGAGTAACAGAACACCTGAGTGTTAGAAAAAGAGAGTTCCTGTCAGGGAAGAACTGGCAATAAAAAGACATTATTGGAGTTGAAAGAATGTAAGAGCTGGATCACAGAGAAAGGGGCAATGGAATGCTATTTTCCAGGCATGACAAAGCCATTGCTATCATGAACTCACAATAGATGCAGTTACCATTCCTGAGCCTGTTACAAGATGGGGCTTGTCAGTCACAGATGAGGAAAGGACTTATGGGGTCCTACCCTTCCTTGGGGAACTACTGGCTACTTACTGATACTAGGAGAAGGGGAGTCACCGTCTACAGATGTGACTGTGGTGAGCCTCCCATACTCCAAAAGGTAAATCCACACCCATGGTCACAAGGATGGCCCTGGTTGAACTCAGTGGGTCACAAAACAAAAAAGACATGAATGTAGTAAACAGATTTATAGTGAGGATGAAGACTGACAAGGATAAGGAGATTAGAAAGGATAGGGATTAGAGTAATAATGCAATATATACATGCATTAAATAGTCAAATAATAAATTTGATTTTTAAAAAGATACTGTAAAATCAAGATAAGAAGATATTAATAGATAATAATAATGATAATCTGATAACCGAACAATACACTACAATATACTGGAAAAGCTAGACTTGGGTGCTATCAAATAAATGCACTCTAGAAGCCCTGCAACTAGGAAATATTGAATGGTTGGGACCACAGAAGATCTGAAAATTATTATTCTGGACTGTGAAAGACAGGCTTGACTTTAAGTAGTGATAAAAATATTAGAAGATGTAAGACTTTTAATAAATCTAATATACTAGATAGATTAGAAAACACAAGCACTGGAGATGCTTTAGGCCAGAGACTAGAAAATAAGAATATTGTAATATGAGGAAAAGTTATTGAAAATACTGTCATTTGTGGAACTTAGAAGACCTGAGTTAGAGATATTGGAAGATAAAAAGGCCTGATCTTAGAAATTAGAAGACCATGTTTAAAAATATTGGTAACATTGAAAGCCTTTCATATTATGATGTAGATGGTATATTCAAAGATAATCAAACCATAGCACAGACTTTTATAACAACAGCATCTCTTCTACTAAAAAGCAAAACAAGGGCAAGGCCATTTGAAGTAGATAACAAAGAGGAAGCAGGAAGTTCAAGTTAAAAAAGTAATTTAAATGTGTCAGAACCTATCTCTACAATCTCAATGAACTGACCTTTTTAGCATTCATGGTTTGACAGAATGGATGCCAGTAGGATAGAAATTATCAAAGAATATGTACTACCTTCAGCTAGAAAAATTACTTGGTTCTAAATAAGAGTTCGGCAAATATATTCTGTGAAGGATTAGGTTGTTAAATTTTAATGGTATCTATTGAAACTAACCTATTAGTGTAAACACAGATAAGGAAAATTACAGCTAAGGTATATACCACTAAAACAATTTGTTTAAAAAAAAAAAGCCGGGCGGTGGTGGCGCACGCCTTTAATCCCAGCACTC